CACAGTATTATTTTCTGGATTCACCAAAACAGGATTCTGTGGGTAGGGGTTGCAGAGCAGTAGATTGTAAGACGATAAGTAAATAATAAAACCGCGTCTGCGAGTCTGTTGTATATGTACAGAAATGAAAAACATGTTTCGATTTATCCGCGAATGCACACGAACGCAAAACATATACATACGAGTACGTTATTATAATATCGGTGAACAACAAAAAAAAAAAAAAAAAAAAAAAAATGGGAAAAAAAATACAACCATCGTTAAATTGGCACCGGTACCCGGTTGGAAAATTTGACATACACACGGATTTTGAAATATTTCTTCGGGACGATTTTTATTATATATATTTGTGTTATCACAACCAGTTTTTATGACATCGTTCACACAACACCGTTCCGGTGTTTCGACTTGACATTTCCACCACTGCTGTTATAACGCCGGACCGCAGTTGACCACGAGCGACGTGATGTTATGATGTTGAACATATTTTACATAAGTGTTCCCAGAATATTGTTCAAGGATTACATTTTTTTTTTCTGTCCGTAGGTATACAAAAAACTAATAAAAAAAAAAAACCTGAGATCACATTGAGTCAGAGGAAAACAAAATATTGTGTATTCTTAAAAGTTGTATACCTACTACATTATATACTTCGGACAAAGTTAGATAGAGCTAATCGATATTTCTGATTGAGTAAAACTATTGTTAAATTAAAAAAAAAACAACACAATTAATAATATATTTATATCTTCGGGAAAAAAACTTTCAGCAGCTTCATCAATATTACTTACTAGATAATACAAAATAAAAATAATAGAATAAACATTTTAAAGATAAACAGTAAGTTTCATAAACATAATAATAATTACCAAAATTCATAGGTGCAAATAGGCCAAATAATTTGAGGGAAGGAGCTATAGCTGTTGATCCTGTATATTTAGTAATAACTTGGTATGGATTTGATTTGGGGAGCTAAGCCTTCTTGCTCCCTCCCTATTTGCGACTACGATAACATTTGAAATATACACTTTTGAACGATTACTATTTACACCAATTATTGTTCTAAGTTACCAATAAAAAAAAAAAAAGTAACTTTTCAATTTAATTCTAACTTTATAATTAGTCATTGCCTAGTTTCGGATTCAAACTACCCGATTTTGTTTCAGAAATAACAGTATAAATGTTTAATTTTTGTTTATTGTGTAAAATTTAAACTTTTTAAACATATCTAAAAAAACGGCGAGGATTTTATAAATTCATTTTTATCAGTCCGAAATAGATGTTTCATGAAAAATATTGAAATTAATGATACATTTTACTTATTAAGCAAAAACGTTGTCCGTCATTTTAAAAATAAGTAAAACAATTACGTTTCGTGATGGACATAACCTATTAGTTGATATAGGTACAATCGAATAATTCGAACTATCGAGAACTTCGAATAAAGTATATTATTTAAACATGATCGAACAGCATCGATTATCAAATAATTTTTAACTCTGTTTTAATTAAATCCGACTCTACACTTTATTGAATTAACGAGGGCTTAATTTTAAAATTATAATACTCGAATAATAATGAAATGTCGTTAAAATTTATGAATTAAAGTGCACTGAACTTTATATATAGCGATTTATTCTACTTGAAATTATTCATGTTAATATTATAAAATATCATTATCTTAAATTCTACATATAAATGGATTAAATTTAAATTTTTTAAGCGTGCTCGACCTATTTTCATGGTTAAATTATGTATACATTCATATTCTTAATTATTAGATTTTGCACAAAAAATCCGCAGTGACACTCACTTTGGTTTTTTATAAGAAAACCTATATGTTTTAATGCAAATTATTTATCATATGGTTTTTCTCAACATTTTGACGTATTGTAGTTGAAATTTGAACGAAAAGTTTCCGAATTATTGTACTTTAACACGTACAATTTACCATAAGAATCAATGTAAAACTAAATTTTCCTAAAAATGGAACAAATACGTTTTGAATTGAAACCCCTCAATTAAGAATAATATAATCTATAAAACGTATTAAATCCATTGCAAATGATACGAGTACAGAAATTATAAATAGACATGTTGCAATATAAATTATAATTTTTAACAGGTACTACTTTATCAAGTACACTCGGACAATGTGCTGATATTAAAAAAATGGCTTATGAATCAAGATTATCAAACTCGTATCCATTTACAATGTATTTAAAAGATTATAATATTAACCTTAGTAATCAAAGTATAGAATGAGTAAGAAAATTTTGGTTCAAATTTTGAAAATCATTTGATTGACAATACGCATTAAAACACGTAGGTTTTCATTTGAAAATAACCAAAGTTGATATCGACGGAGAATGTTCCTTAAATTTTGTGAAATATCTAAGTATTCGAAAATATCGTCTTTAACTATACTCAAAAATATCAAAAAATAGTTTAAATATTATATGGATAATTTAATCATACAAATGGTATAAGTATGCTCAATAAATTACCCTCGTATATACTAATGATATATTTTACGAGTACGAGAAAAATAGGCGGTTTTTTTTTTTTAAATCAAATCATTAATAATGTACATACTTATAATTAGAGTGTCTGTAGAATATGTGTACAAAAAAAAAAAAAAAAACGAAAAATGCAAATATAAATCAAATGTTTTGCCATTTTTACTCAGATGTCTTTTTTGAAATTTGTTTTTTTTTTTAAGAAGGTTCTAAAATTACACATTTTCTAACGTAAAATAATTTTCATAAAATTCTTACTAATAAAAAAGTATCAAATACTACTCATATATAATTGTTAACATTAGAAATTAAACGTATAGTACCCACAGTTGGAACAATTCACCAACGATTCTATGGAAGCTTTAAAAACAAATATTTACTACAAACAATTGTCGGTTCACTGGACATACGATATTTTCAGATCTAGTTAATAATCAGTCCAACTAATGCCTATTATAATTTAAACTTAATCTACTCAATAAACCATGTAAATTACATACGTCTTTAATCATTCTACATAAAATATATTATTTTTGTATACTTTGACTGACAATGTTAACAATTTTGTTGAACTGATATAGGAAATTAATTGAAATTAAAAATTAACAGTTATTGATGTTTTATTTGTATTTTTTGTTTAACGATTATCAGTAAAATAACTTAATAATTTAGTTAAAAATCATTATGAGATACAAGTTATAAATATTTATTTATGCATATATTTGGTGCGTATTATTAATTATATCGTAAATCTTAAACTTGACCATTTTATGAAAACTAACTAATAATTATTTATTTCAGTAATGACCGTAAAAATATATAATTTTTTCCTTTTTCTTCACTTAAGTTTTCGTCCCAACTATTTTGGATCGTCTTTAACTATATCCGCTCGTTCCGATTCTCCACGTCATCTTCGCATATACCGGGGGAATATATAATTTAACTTTGAAGAAAAAAAATGTTTATGTACCTATTCATATATGTATTAGGTCGTTGGAAAACTTCAGTAAAGTATTAGTATAAGTATAAGTAAGTAAATAATAGGTATACTTTTCAAACACTATCGGCTCGTTAGACATACAATATCAGTCAATACACAAATATATAAATTACATTTAAGATATAATATGCCAAAATGAGGAAACCAACTTATTTCGCTGTTATTAAAAAATAAAATAAATTAATCGAGGAAACTCGAAATAGATTACGTCATACGTGTTTAGTTTTTATTTTATTAATTTAATAATCAATTGCAATTGTTCGGTATTTGACGATTTTTTAGATAAATTATTAATTAATTTCGGAAATTACCATTATTAAATCTTGTCGTCCGTTATATTGTCATTTCATAAACGACGTTTGATTATGCTAAGACAAAGTTTACAATATAATTTCTGCGGGTTTTTTTTTTTTTTTTTACAGAATAATGAAAATAATATATACAAATTAATTTAAATATATAAATCATGTTACATATTTATGAATAATTACCAACGCTGATCTTATGCTTTTTTAAAGTATTAAAAAGTAATTTCATAATACCGTACCTACTACCAGAAAGGTAAGTGTAGTTACTCAAAAAAAAAAACTTCGGTTTTGAGTTAGACCACTATTCCCGTGATAAAAATGTAGTTCTCTACAATTCATTCATTACCGTATTTTTCGGAAACCAAAAAATTAAACAAGTTGTATGCAATAGTTGTATTAGTTGCAATAGTGTATTATCTCAAAATAATACGCTATTGCATTATAATTTAAATTGAACAGTTGACGCACTAGTGTTTTAACTCAGCAAAATAGGTAAATATTAGTACATTAGGTAATACAATTTTGAAGGGATTTTATAGGTTTATATAAATACAGCAGTGAAGTATATCTCAAAATTATACGCTATTGCATTACGATCAGTTATTAAAATAGTTATTGAACGTTAGTCCTCTAAACAAGCGTAAAAAAAAAAAAAAGTAAAAACGAGTGAAATCTTTATAATGAAAACCCGGATTTTCGAATAACACTGCCGTTCTGGCCGGATCGTTCGCTAAAATATTATTATTACTTGTATAAAAATGTGATATTAGAAAATCGTGTGCAATCGATCGACTCCTAATTTTCGCGGCGCATAGATAATAAATACGTGTACGTGCCCGTTGAGTGACTCGCGTCTGTACCAATACAATGTGGACCCATTACGAATAATATTATCGTAAATCGAATAAAATCCATTGTTCGGTGTTAGTTATGCGCGTAGTTTTGATAAATAAAAATTTCCAAAATCGGACGATGTGCCGTCAGCCGACAACTCTGCACACTGACCGCGACTCAGAAAACCACCGAATCAATGGGAAAAAAAAAAAAAAAAAAAAAAACTGGATCCGACGGTCCCCACTGTCGTGCTCCGGCCCAATGATAGCGTATACTCAATAATATATTCGTCTCGTTCTCACCCCGTACTGCAATTTATAATTACAAGTACGGGTTCGTGGGATTTTTCGCGAACGTTTCCCTATTTAAACGTCGGTCGACGAGCATTTGAGCACACAACACGTTCTGACCGTTCACAGTGCAACAACAGCACATATACACAGAACGTCTCTACAAACAGAAAATCGTTTTTCGTTTTTTTCCGTTCGCCAGAAAACTATAAAAACACCGTCATCATGAAGGTAAGCGCTGAACGGTTTTCATTTTTATAGTTAGAAAAAAAAAAACTAAACTAAACAAATATTTCGACATTTAGTCTTCTTCTCAGAAGCTAAACGGAATCAAAGTTATTATTATTATTTTTTTTTTTTACAATTTTTTCATTTGTTTGTATTATTTGTACACAGGTCGCATGTATCGTATTACTTTTGGTCGCCGCAGCGCTCGCCGAAAACAAAGAAAAACGTTACGCTTTCGGAGCTTCTCCTTCTTTGGGTAATACATTTTATACATATCACTACTTTAAGAAAAAAACGAAAAAAAATCCAGCTAATTCGATCACGACTGTAGGGCGTCTCCGGTTCGTGACCATATACTGCAATAGGTATTCCTCGTACACGAGTGGTCCATTCCGTATATAAAAATACTATAGTGTTACACGGTGAAACTGCCAATCATTCCTCTAATAATTACGGACAAACGAAACGGTATGAAAAAAAAAAATCCAAAAACAGCATTCCAACGATATTCCGGTGTAATTATAATGTAGTATTTTGTTGTATATATTTTCGTCGGTGGAGGGGGGGGGGTGTTTTTTATTCTATTAAAAAAAATGATTTTCTGAATTATAAATCGTAAATTCCTCGAACGCGTGAACTCGTATACTTCGTAACAATCGATTCCGTGCAGCATTAACTTAAAATGTTCAGAAAAAATTATTCTACGGCTCGAGTCAATTTCAATGCCCAAAAACTTTGTCCAATCGCACTGGAAATCTGTACTTATTATCGTTATTTCGTAATATAATTAACCGCTTTTAATGGAACGAGGCGGAAAAAACTCGAAATTTGTTATTGTTAACCTCTAATACGAAGGGATATCTTAATATTGAGTTTATATATACACATATTTTTTAAATAAAATTGGCAACCATAGCATACCGAATTACACCGCTGCCATAATAATTGGGTATAGATAAATAATCTGATAGTAATATTAATGTATATAGTTTGTGGCTTTTTTTTTTTTTTTGAAGCAAATACGTAAAATACATTCGGAAATTCGTTAGATTGTCAAACAGTTGTCAGACATTCGAATACGAAACATATTTTCGTCTTATCCGCGATCGGGTTAATAGAATACATTTTTTTCGAAAACGATCCGATTTTTCTCACGTCATGCCTTTAAAGGTGCGGAATTTCCGCCCCGTGATACTTTGTCCGATGCGCTTATCGAAATTTACGACAGTTGATCCTCTATGGGTCCGCTTCCATCCCCTCCTCTCCCCGACTTTAACACTACACCGTTCAGAATCGTTTTCCGTTCGCTACGTATAACTTCCCGACTGGTCGCTCACGACAACGGGCCAGTGACCCGGGAGCAGTATCAATTTGTACATATTATTTTTCACCGTCACCGTCGTACGCTCACGCGGTCATAATAAATATATTAGCATAATAAAAATATCTAATGCACAAAACTTCGTCACACGGCGATAATGTAATTTGATTTTTTTTTACGACATTTCGTGGGATGTGTACAATACACATCATCCACACACATGGTAAACGGGTAATTTTCGCGTCTATACTTTACGACCGTAAAACGTACACACCTATTACTATTATTATTATTATTATTATTATTATTGTCGTTATTTTTCGTCGATTTTTGAATAGGTAAAACGAAAAGTAAAAAAAAAATAAGTTATCTAAATCCACTGAAACCGCGTCGCGATAATAATGTAACGCGATTTCGCGAATAAAATATGTTGTTTTTTTTTTCATAATATGTATTTAAAATAAACGAAACGCGAAACGTTTAACAAAAAACAAAAATCATCTGAATTCAGATCGATACGAATAGTTTTCGGTCGAAAACTAATACACGGTTATTATTATTATTATTATTATTATTATTATTATTACTACTTTCTTATTTTTTTTTCAATATTATTCCGGATGATACCGTCGTATCAGTGTGTTATCCGCACGGTCGCGAAAAACGCTTTCGGAGCGACTCTTTCCCCCCGAACGACCCGCAGGAGGTACCCCGCACCCGCCGGTTAAATCCGCGTCGGGGCCGCGATACCGTCACCGAGCTCCGTCGTTCGGGTCTCGAATAATCTCGCGACCATAGGCGCGTTTCGTCTCGGGACAACGATAACGATAAACGAGTAAATCCGATGTTCACGGCGTTTCGTTCCGTATCAATATTTGTCAGCATAATGGTATGTGTTATTATTATTTATTGTGGCGCGCGGAAGAATAGCCGCGATGATATCCTTATTGATACGATATTATTATTGTGCTCGGCGACTCACCTTTTTTTACCTCCGTGTTACGCGGGAAACGTTACGCAGTGTAAAACGTCGGGAAGAATAACGCGTAGTATTGACCCTATAAAAAAAAAAAAAAAACGCGCAACCTCCCCGCAACACCGTAAATAATCGACGGACAATGCACACTTTAGAAAACGGATACTCGCGCGTTCCGTTCGACATTGTTGACGCGCGACGTCAATCGACTCTGGTCGAAAACCCACGTTTTTTTTTTTTTATTTTTTTGTGTTCACATATTATTCTAGTTGAGAATCTACAGCCTTTTTACTTCGCCAAAAACTTCGGGTCGTTTTTATCGATTTTGCTCTTTGATTTACGTTTTTTTTTCTGTACGGTTAAATTGTTCGTTATTAATTTAATTTATATTTATTTTTTCAGGATACCAATCGGCTTCATACCCGGCATCTTACTCGGCATACTCTGTGGGTGCGTTACCGGCAGCGTCCTTCTCGGCTTCCCCCGTTTTCTCTAAATCTACACACCCCTCGTCTTACTATTCCGCTTACCCGTCTTCCTACGCCGCCGGCTCCGCCGCTTTCCCGGCTTCCTACTCAACCTACTCCGCCGCCGCCCCGGCCTCTTACTCGGCCTACTCTGCCGCCGCCCCGGCCTCTTACTCAGCTTACTCTGCCGCCGCCCCGGCCTCTTACTCAGCTTACTCTGCCCCAGCCTCCTACTCGGCCTACTCCGCCCCAGCCTCCTACTCGTCCTACTCCGCCCCAGCCTCCTACTCGTCTTACTCCGCCGCCGCCCCAGCCTCCTTCTCGACTTACTCCGCCCCAGCCTCCTTCTCGGCCTACTCCGCCCCAGCCTCCTTCTCGTCGTACTCCGCCGGTGTTTCTCCACTCGCCTACTCGGCTTACTCCGCTGCCGCCCCGGCTTCGTACTCAAGCTACTCTAATGCCGCTCCAGCTTCGTACTCGAGCTACTCTACTGCCGCCCCAGCTTCGTACTCAGCTTACTCTACTGCTGCCCCAGCATCTTACTCGTCATACTCCACCGTCGCACCACCAGCCTACTCGGCATACTCTACTGCTGCTCCAGCATCTTTCTCCTCATACTCCACGGCATCTCCAATAGCGCATTCTGCCTACTCTGCTGCTCAACCGATCGCTCTCAGCGGAAACGCTTACAGTAGCAACGCTGGATTCGCAGCTGCAAAATCTTTCAGCGCACCACAATTACTCGGCTCTCAAACTTTCGCCATCAACAAATAGATCACTACAAGCAAACACTTACGAATCAAAAATATTACTGGGCAAATCAATCAATAAATAATAATGTGTGCATTTAAAATATTCAAATAAATATGCATTTCTTTTGAAAAACAGATTTTACTTTAAATAATCGCTTATTTCTTATTTCCTATAAATACGTCTTATCCATAGTAAATACTAATTATAATAAACAATATTCTACCTAAACGTAGTCAGAAAAATATGTCCTATACTAAGAATCAGTGCCGGCCAGATAGATTTCTAGGCCTGGTGCAGAATTTTGCAAAATATATCTTCCATAATATAGTACAGTACTGTTGCATAAAATGTTCAACGTAAATATAATTGTTTGATAACTTACCTTGGTCGTAGTAGTATGGTTTATTCAATAAATGATAAATCGGTCGTTATTTCTTATCATCCTGTTGAAATGATGTATTTAGAATTCAGATACATTTTTAAATAAATAAAAAAAAAAAAGTCTAATAAAATATATAACCACAGGATAAATCAAGTCATTAACCAACAAGTAAGCAAGTAGCGATTACCTGGTGGCGTATTATCAGTTCAATAAATAATTATGGCACGGTTTTTGTTACTTATCTAACCAAAATCGGGCCTCAAACTCATCGATTCGATAAGGCATTATTATTATCGAATCAATAAAATATAAAAGTCGTTTTTGCAACAGCCAAACACTTTATCAAACCGATTACAATGTTATCGGTTCTATAACTAGTTATTGGTCGTTTATACAACCCGGCAATATGTATAATTGGTACCAATTTGATTTTCGTCGATAACAACCCGTGTCCTAAGAAAACCACACGGTCACACGACACACGGCACATGGGTCGAAATTTGCTTACTATTGGGAGAATATTATTATGATTATTTACCCGTACAAGCACGAGGTTCTGTACGGCCACACCGCTTGTCCCCCCCCCCTAATGCCGACGCTGCTAAAAATGTGTAGACACAAAATAAATATAATTCATTAAAACAAAAACTATTCCTATGGTAAACATTTGTTAAATAAACAGAAAACAATAATCCAAAATATTGGAATCACTGGATTTTTATATCTTACAAATTTAGATGTGTCTGGCTGCATATCAGGGTACACATTAAAGAAAAAAAATACGAACTTCAAAGATGGGATTAAACGATACCTATCATAACCATAATAATATTCTTACCCATTAAAAAGTATAATTTATTATCACAGATATATTTTTATAAATAGCAATAATGAAATAAAATAAAAATCCTTTATTTTACTTGATTCGTCTTATTTTGTTCAGCATAAGTATAGCACAGTAAATAAATAAATAAATTACAGTGAATTGTAAAACACTTTAGAAAGAAAATTTCTAAGAAATAATTACAATCTTTACGGAGAAATTGATAACTTTTTTTTCACTTCTTCTACACACTTAAATACTGATTTGACTTGTAATGATTTTTATGTTGTATCATGGTCCGCAATGAATCTAGGGATAGTCCATGTGAACCCGGAATTCGGTCCATATACATTTGGCAGTCGGTTCAAAGCTACTTAAAAATCTAGGATTAGGCAAATGTATACTCATATCTCCCCTCCAAATGACGCCCTGAGGAGAGGGGCTTATTTAAAAAAAGCTATCTTAGAATAATGAGGAAGAGTGCAGCCACTGTAAACCATTCATAACGAAAAAACGTTTCACAGCGGAGTTCAGTTGATAGTGTTGATTTGTCAACAATATAATATATATATATATAGTAAATTACAATAATGTGTGTTTCCATGATACAATAATTGTTTAAAAAAATATTAATACAATAAATTTAATAATAATAAAAAAGTTTACCAATGACAACCTTATTGTTAATTATTCAATTTTTTTTAATCTAAAGAACCCGGTTGTCCTCATTATGTCAAATATTAATGAGAATTAATGAGCGTTCACAAAAAAAATAAACATTTTTGTAAAACCAATACATTCTTCTGTTCTACACTAAAATCAAAATCTAAAAATTAAAATAATCGTTTTTATAATACGAGATACAGATATCATTTTTATTAATTTAAAGGTCATGAGTTTAGTGAGCAACGTTGTACAGGATTATTAATAATCCTCAATATTTATGAGTACTAAAATTTTTTTGAATGGATGGATAGATATTTGTTACACGTTCACGTCAAAACTACTGAATGGATTAATCTGAAGCTTTGCATAAAGGTAGTTTTAGTCCAAGAATAAGATATAGGCTAGAAACTTCTTTATAGTCAACCCCTAAATGAGGCTGATACATTGTTATTGGTATTTTAGAACGCAAATCGAATTATTTTTGATAATTAATAGTAACCTTGGTTAAAAAATTTAAAAAAAAAAGTTAAAACAAACACAACAATAAATAATATGGTAGTCCGTGTAAGAGTCATAATACATATATATAATTTATTATATTCAGAAATATGAATCATTGATAATGTTATCATTTTCGTATTTTTTTTTAAATTTACGAAACAAAATCTAATATATTCAGCTGATAATTTAACGCATTTACGAGCCGTTCACATAATACTGAACGCGTTCTTTCCAAACTTTTAAATGTTTAAGATTAAATGTGCAAGAAACTTTTGAAGCAATGTTTAAACAGTTCTGTACCTACACGAAATTTGATTACTAATTATTATGCACAACTAACGATAAATTGCCTATATATAACGCCTTATAAATTAAGGAAAGCCAATTAATTATATTTATAAATTTATAATTATTATAATAAAACAAAAAGACCTGATATAATAAAACAAACAAAAATAATACACTACACTCATTTTTTTTTCGACCTCTAAGTTCAACTTATAATGAATCTCCGATCAAATTTTCAAGCATTCCTGTTTAAACTGACAATTTTATTCACAGAGTACCTACTAAAAAGAAATCACGTGAAAACTCGCAAAATTAAAATGTCTATTACAGGTTAAAAATGACTCAGATGTTTTTAAAATTTTACCACGTCTAGAAAAACCAAATATCAGTTTTCAATCAAAGTTTCAAGTCTTTACGAATATTTATAACACAATTACATAAAAAAAAAAAATGTAAAACTATAAAAGTATTGTTTTTGTAAATTGTCCTGTTCTTTCTAAGGATTCAAAGATTTTGCTCATTTATGAAAAAAAACTACAAGAAAAAATAAAAATATGATATTTTTGGTCTTCAACTAGGTTAAACATTTTAAAAAAAAAATTGTTTTTCTATTTAGATAGTAATATTTTTTGTACAAAACATAAGCTGTACAATTTTTAAATTACCTTTCAGAAAGAGTACTGCACTTGACACTTCAGAGCTAAATTTCTGATAAACAACTTTTGTTCATAAATAAATAGATAAATAAAAATAAACATCATTGTAAAACATATTCATTCCTTGCTCCATTCGGAATATAAAATTATTAATTATTTTAGAATCGAAATAAACAATGTTAAATGTTATAATGCAAAATACAGTGGAATCTTAATAAGTTGAAATTCAAGAGAAATGCAATGTTTATTGAAAACATAAACATAATAGATGCCAAGAAACACACATTTGAACTTGTATAGTTTCTACGTTCTTAATTATCTCTGTTGTGTTATAGACATTTTGATGCATCAATGTTTTATTTACATTGAATTCGTGATTTTTAAAAAATGTTTAAATTACAGAGAAAAGTACTTAAAATTATGCAGCAGGCTGTGATCGCATTCTATAACTGATTATTGCTATTATGATTAATTATTTACTGTACACATATTTTCTTTATTATTATTAAAACTATCAAAAGTATAGATTAATTCTAAAATCCACGTTAAAAATATTCTAAAACCGGAAAAGTCATGATGATAGTGAAAGTTGATGATAACATGTCTTGTATTTTTCATCCTGTATAGGGTTCCAACCGTTATAAATAAAAAAAAATTGTTATAATATAAGACAGAGTTCAGACTATTTATAAATATTAATATGAATAACCTTAAAATGAATAAACATAACCGCATTTTTTAGTAGGTATACAGATCATCATATTCACAATAACAAAATAGTTATAAAACCAGTTTGATTAGATATAATAATAAGCGGCGACAGTGATTGTAATCTGTTTTAAATTTAAAATATGGATATCTTTTATTTTTCCACGTATCTATCAAAACATACGGTTTACGTGATTTTATTATTGTAGCACTCCATGATAGCACATAAACATTTTTTTTGTTGATGACATTATTTAATAGTTGAAAATAGTTAAGAATATTAAGTGTGGGACGTAAGATGCGTTTTATTTCTCTCGGTTCAGTTAAATATTACGACTTTCAGATTCTCAGTGAAGTGAGAAACGATATTGATTTTACTATGTTGTAATAACACATTAATGAGACAGAACACTTTTTACCAGTTTTACACTTAATGCATTCGTAACCAGTTGTACACGTAAACGTAATATTATTGTACCTATTACCTTTGTTGTCCTTTATATACTAGAATTTAACATATGTCTACATCTACTATATTTATACAGACTTTTTTTTTTGGTCCAATAAGACAAGGCTTGATAATAATTCCATAATTTCGCTAATAAATAATTTTTTTTTTTTTTTTTGGAATATTTGTATCATCCTTATACATGTTCTAACGACGAAGCATACAATCTAAAAGTATTTATGTACAAAAGATATCCTTTACTATATATTTGAATAGATAACAAAGATTTATGTTTCGGAATTTTTATACAAATACAGTGTAAATCATTTTTCTTAACCCGTATCTGTTGGTTATAGAGGCCGAAGATATTTTTTTTTAAGAGTTGATCTCGTACAAACATGCAACAATTTATTTTTCTATTGCTTGAACGCGTTTTTAAAATTCTATTGAATTTTGAATATTTAATATGTATACCGTGAACGCCTATACACGTAAGACATTTTTTTGCATTCAGTATTAATATCCGTAAAGAATATTCCGATCTTTTGTCAGTATTGTGTGATATAAATATGTGTAATCGAAACTTGCAATTTCGTTCCTGACCTGAATTGTCAATAATATAATTTTTATGCTTTAAATAAATTTCTTTAAACTTCGAAAGCGTTAACTTTACAATTTT